GGCGCTACCATCGTCGCTAATTGGCTTGGCCTTGGCCAGCGGTGGGTCATTCTTAGAGCCGGCTGGCACTGGCTTTATCAGACATGGGGAAACTTCTTGCAGCTTCTCACAGAAGCCAGCCCTATAGCCCCCCCACTAGCAAAACCTTGCCACGCAAACCCATAACATGCATTCAGAGATCTCTGCCTGGAGATCAAGCTCAGGGACACACAAATAAAAACCTGAGCCTCATCAGTTCCAAGAAGACCCTCGAAGACTGGCTGGCTGTTGATCAACATGCATGTTCTGGACAAGGGCAGCAGAGTAACTGCTGGCTGTGATCCAACAATCCTGACATGTAACCTCTGATCAGGAGATCAGAGGATGCAGCTGTTGTCACACTGACCTGCCTCATCACACTAAGACATTTATAAGCTATTTATATTTTGCATTTTTTATATTTTAACTGATATTTAAAGACAAGAAAGTTCCTCCTGACATTTCCCCATGAAACTGCTTGTTTAAATTGAGACCACTGTAAACTGTTTCACCCACAATAGCTTGCAAACTTTAAATAGCTCAAGACAACCACATCCCTCAAACAAAATACATTTTACAATGGAACACACCCTGCAAAGACAGAAATTTTAAAATATCAAATGCAAAGAATAAAATGGTGTAGTACTGGTTTGTTCAGCACAAGGACAGCAGAAATTTGTATTTAATTTTTCAAAGGTATTTTAAATATGGATCTTACACTGCAAAGCACTTTGGCTCCTTAAGGCAGAAACTATAAATGCATTACCACAAAAGCAAATCTGTATCTTGGGCTCTTAATGAAAAAAGACCATTAAAAATCATCTAACTATTTGCTAATTCAAAGACTCATCAAATAAAAGAAATGAAACATTTCCCACATCTGCAGGGAACTTCAAAAACAAAGTTCTTTTCCATTCATGTGGAGAATTGAAGCTACGTTTCCCTCAGCAGCAAATATAAAAGGCACCTCCAAGTGGTCGCTAATACAGTGCCACAAGATCTGCTAGCAAACATCTAGGGCTACCCACTAGAAACATTAAGCATTTAAGTTTGGGATTCCCTATCATAAGCAGGCTTTTTCACCACTCAGCTTGGTTTTTCAGCAAACTAAACTTCAGATAAACATGTGATTTTAGACGCTTTCCTATGTAAAGCAAATGAAGTTTTTCAGTTGTTAAAAGGGAAAAAAATTCCTTTTACCAACCTCCTTTTTTTTGATCTTTCCTCCAATCTACGTGGATATCACTGTAGTGTGGAAAGACATCACTTAGGAATGTGAATCTTACAACAGAAAACTAAGACTGAGTTTTAGAAACTACTTACGTTACTTAGAGTAACAAGAACAGAAATATTTATGTATTAGCATTGGTACTGTATATTTCTAGCTAGTGGAGTATTTAAAAAATTTGGATCTAAATGTAGCTTACTGGCTTTGCAAAGAAGCTGTAAAAGGACAAATACACATGGTTTTCCCTATGAAAGAGCAACGTACCCATTTGTTACCTTTTAAGTATCTCCTGTTTCACATTTAATTCTCCACTAAAAATAATGAAAGATAATCTATAACACAAAAAAGATCTGGTAATACTTATGCATCTGCTACCACCTGCTGACAAACAGCATTATTGGCTTCATCCTAGTCAATCTTAAAGAAGCAACTCCTATTTCCCTGTAAGAAAGTTTCCACTGCTGCTACAGTGGCTGACAGTAAAAGCTACATGAATTTTTTAATACAGTATGCTGTAGCCATAATAAGCCACTAATTTCCTATCCACTCAGCTTGTCTACTTCACAGACCACAGGCCAGCATATTCCGCTCACAAAGCAATACTATATCCTTCATTCACTGAAGCCCTTCAGCTATTGCAGATGGTTACTGTAGTCAATTACTGGGCAATTACAATAAACTGATTCCTCATTTACAAAAACCCCAAACCATTTGACTTGTTCAATTGGCCATAAGACTTTCCAAATGACAAGTCAATTTCTTCCAGTCTTATGTCCCAAACTACAATGTGGAATCAAAACATTTTTCTTCCCCCAGTCTTAAATGCAGAGCTGAATGGTAGTAGAAGTGACCACCTTTGCATCACCCTGCTTAATTTCACAGTACTTTAAGTAACAGCCTTGAACGGTCTCCAGATATTATTGCTGTTGAGAAAAAGACTACAACAAACCTAAAGCAGAACAGCGAAATAAATCCTGTTTCAGGTATCGCACGTTAAATTGCAGAAGCGTGACAGTGAAAAGAGACTAGTTCACAATGATGACCTATTTGGCTGTATGGCAGACTAAATCAAAATAGTACTTTTAATATTTACTTATTTACTTATACATGCACTTCGAAACAATTTGAAAAAAAGCCAAAGCTTCACATCTACTAAAACAAAGTGTCAGAAAAAACAACTTCATGAAAGCAGAATTTGGAGCTATATACAACAGCATGGTTTGTTTGACAAAGCTAATCCTATTCAGATTATTGAAGTCCCCTGGCTTCGCTGATGGGAATCTGAGTTTGAAATCTCTCTTTAAGTGATAGGTCTTTAAGAGTGGTCAGTTCTTCCAGACCTACATGCATTTAGCAAAAGCAGTTCAAATTGATCGGTTTAACCTTTTAAACATCTTATTCACTTTCCATTGTACAGTAATTAGTTTATATATATCATTTATTCATTGGGGAAAAAAAATAGTATTTTTCACTTAATTTCCTGCCTGTAGTGCTCAACTGGGTTTTTTTTTGTCAGAAAAAAAACAGCTGGGCTTAAAAGTCCCTTTTTCCTGCACTTGTATCCCTAAAGCAGATGAAGTTGGACACTGAGCGTTGCCAAGAGAAGAACAAAAAGCCACCACCAATGCTGGACCACCAATCCAAAGCACCTGAACGCCTGACTCTACCGAGGGGATCATGACAAAAAATACTCGCCACTAGCTTCCTAACTTCAGTACCAAATGCTAAAAACATACCTAGGGCTTCTTGCCACTGCTCTGAAAAGGCGCGGTTAGTTTTGAGGCATGCAATTCCAAATACAGAAGCAGGAGAGACGGGTCTGACTCAGCCATCGGGAGATGTGGAAGTCATGGGGCGGAGAGCCACCTTTGCTCTCCTTCCCAACCATGGGTCCACCCACCATCTTTTCCCCCACCCCTGAGGGGACGAGGGCGAAATAAACTGCCGCCTTCCCCTTCGTTGCACTGCAGGGAGAAACAAATCTCTCCTTCCTCCTCAACCCCCTCAGGCTACCGCCCATCGGCAGGGAACCAGC